CGAGCATTTGCCGCGGCCGTGGCAGCCGCGCGCTGGAGCTGCGTTCCCGGTCCTGGCGGGTCTGTGCCCAGCGCTGGCCTCAGTTCAGCCTCCCGGCTGCGCTGGCTCACAGGGGCCTGCCAGCTCACAGGTGGCCCGGCGCTGGCCACCGCCCCCTACAGGCAAGTGGGCCACGGCTGGCGGCCGTGGTCAGAGCAAGCGAGACGCCCTTGCGCTGTGGAGGCGCGGGCCCAGGGCTTTGCCTTGTGTACCTGACGGTGGACTCGCGAATCAGAGACGTGCTAGATCCACCCCACTGTGGCCCAGCGGAGGTGGGGAAGCAAGGCACAGAGAGGTTGGGCAACTGGTGCCAAAGCACACAGCACTGCCGCCTCCGTGTCCCGCAAACCTGCCCGCCTGCTGGCGTCTCCGGCCAGGCCGCCATTCCAGAAGGAGTCGGTCCCCCCGGTGGGCGCCCGGCCCTGGGCAGCCTCTGGCAGTGATTGTGCACGCAGGCCGGCCCAGCGACCCAGGAGCCGCGTGGCTGGGGAGAGACACTCTCTTATGTGAGCTTCCAGGAGGGCGTCGCCCCTCAGGCGTGCACGCACACACGCACCCACATGCACTCACGTACATGGGTGCACGCACACACACACACTCATACACTCACACAGCACGTGCATACACTCAATGTACATGCACTCCATACACGCACGCAACACATGCACACGCATGTGCACACAACACGTGCACGCACTCCCGGGCAATTCCAGCAAACTCTGGGGCCACCGTCTTCGCTGGGCCGGGGAGCCGAGCCGAGTCCCTGAGTGAGCCGGCCTCCCGTGGGGAGGGTTTCGTCCTCCTGGCGCAGTGCCGTCAGGGGGCAGTGACCTGCCGGAGCTGCCGTCGCTCTGCGCCAGGCAGACGAGTGACCAGGAGCCTCGGCCAGGACAGGGCCGTCTGGAGCCGCAGGGGCCTTCCTCCGGCTGCTGGGCGGGGCTGAGTGGGGCAGCGCCCTCCCCACACCAGGCTCTTCCCACACGCGTGAGCGGGACAGGCCCGCCCAGGCGCACCCGGCCAAAGCAGGGCCGCTCTTCCTTGGGCCGGGAGTGGACCCAGCGCTCTGGGGGGGCCTTCCGCACCTCACTGTGTCGGCCCAGCACACACCGGCGCTGGGGCTGCCTGCTGGGTTTCGTGGAGCACCCCGTGACGAACTTTGGCACGTTCGCAGCCTCTGAAGCATCTTGGGCTCCTGTCTCCAGGCACCTGGGCCACCGGCCCCAGTTCCACCCGCTGAAGCACGGATTTGACGAGTGGTTCGGGTCCCCCAACTGCCACTTTGGCCCTTACAACAACAAGGCCCGGCCCAACATCCCTGTGTTCCGGGACTGGGAGATGGTCGGCAGGTAACGGCCCGTCCCCCGATCCCGTCCCCGACCCCTCCCGTCCCCGACTGTACCGCCCGGCCCCGCCCTCTGCCCTGATGCTGCCCAGGGAGGAGCAGGACGCGCAGTCCTGGCCGCCCGCCCACTGACGTCGTGGGGCCGCTCCCCACGGGTGCCCCAGAGCCTGTCACACCCCACCTGGGCCCACCGCCAGCCGTCCCAGGGCCACGGGGCCATCAGACACGTCACGGCCGAGAAAGACCCCGCCCAGCCAGGCGGTGCGCAGGGCTTTGCCTTTGGTGTCGGGGGCTCCGGGCGCTGGGCGCACGTGGGTGAGGGGCCGGCTTGTCACCCGCGCCCTCGGCTGCCACTCCCACCCCACCCCCGCCTTCTCATCCTCCACGCCATCTCCGGCCGGTCCCCGTCCTCCCAAAGGCTGGCGCCATGACGGGGCCCGGACCGAGACGCAGCCCTGGGCCTCAACGGCCGGGCACAGGGGTGGCTTGACCTGTCCGGTGGATGGCGCCTCTCTGCCCTCCTGTCCCGCGAGGCCCCTGCGATCGGGGAGAAGAGAGCAATCTGGGCCCGGACTCAGACGCCTGGGTCCGGCCGCTTCCAGGTTTTACGAGGAGTTTCCGATCAACCTGAAGACGGGGGAGGCCAACCTCACGCAGATCTACTTGCAGGTGAGGACGCCCGTGTGCGTCCGGCAGCGCGGCTCCCCGGGGCAGGGGGATGGGGGAGGTCGGCCGGCCTGCAGGGCCGGGAGGACTGTGCGCATTCTCCGCAGGAAGCCCTGGACTTCATCAAGACGCAGCAGGCCAGGCGCCGCCCCTTCTTCCTCTACTGGGCCATCGACGCCACGCACGCGCCCGTCTACGCGTCCAAGCCTTTCCTGGGCACCAGTCGGCGAGGGCGGTGAGTCCCCGGTCAGAGGAACGTGGCCCACGCGTGGGGGGGGGCCTCCGCTGTGCTTGTTACCTCCAGGGACGCGACACTGAACTGCCAGTCATAAAAAGAGACCGGAATGCCTCGGCCTCTTTGAAACCATCTGCCAGCCCAGGGTGAGCAGGAGCAGACGGCACCGCGGGTCCAACCTGTCCCCGACCAACCCCGGGAACTTGAACTTGAGCTTTTCCCCCGTCTTCTGGGAAGCCAGCCCGTCCCATCGGGCCTCTGTGAAGTCACGACGACTCGACCCACTCCTTGAGTCTCTCGAGCGCCGTGGGCCGCCCGAGTCACCCGCCGCCCTCCCCCAGGTACGGGGACGCCGTCCGGGAGATCGACGACAGCGTGGGGAGGATCCTGCGCCTGCTGGGGGACCTGGGCCTCCGCAAGGACACCTTCGTCTTCTTCACCTCCGACAACGGCGCCGCCCTCGTGTCCGCCCCCAAGCAAGGCGAGTGTCCTCAGTTTCCCCTCCTGCGTCGGCGTCCACAAAGGCTCCATCTCGGGACACTGGGGCCGGCTGGGGCCCGGCTGAGTCTGCCCGTGCAGGGGTGAGCCCTTCCCGAGGGACAGTCGGGTGCTCACTTCTTCACGGCCAGGAAAATCCAGACTTCTTTTCCCCCGTGGCTCATCTGCAGCAGCCGTCCCCTGATGTAGGACACCCCACCCCCGGGGTCCAGCCCCGTCTCAGAGTGCCGTCACCAGGGCTGGGGCCTGCCCGCGACAGCGTCCACCGGCTTCACACAGCTCCCTGCGCCCGTCCCCACCCACCGTGAGATCACGCAGGGGCAGGGCTGGCGGCGTTTAGCTAAAGCCCCTGCCGCAGACACACGGGATGCTGCGAACGTCAGCGTTTAAGAGACAGTGGGCCGGGCGCGGTGGCTCGTACCTGTAATCCCAGCACTCTGGGAGGCCGAGGTGGGAGGATCGCCCGAGGTCAGGAATTCAAAACCAGCCTGAGCAACAGCGAGACCCCGTCTCTACTAAAAATAGAAAGAAATTAATTGGCCAACTAAAAATATATTGAAAAAATTAGCCGGGCACGGTGGCGCGTGCCTGTAGTCCCAGCTACTCGGGAGGCTGAGGCAGGAGGATCGCCTGAGCCCAGTATTTGGAGGTTGCTGTGAGCTAGGCTGACACCACGGCACTCACTCTAGCCCGGGGCAACACAGTGAGACTCTGTCTCAAAAAAAAAAAGGACAATGAGTATCCGAGAGCCCAACAAAGTCTGTTACTGGGGTATGTTTTCTTCTTGTTGTTAGAGGCAGGGTCTCGCTCTGTCCACCGGGCAGAAGCTGCAGGGGACACACAGCTCACTGCAGCCTCCAACTCCTGCCTCAAGTGATCTTCCTGCCTCAGCCTCCCGCAGTGCTGGGGACACAGGCTCGAGCCCCACCCCCACCAGGAGTGGGTTTTGTGGCTTTGCCTGAAGCTTGTGCGTTGCCGGGACAGCGAACGGCCACGTTTCCCGTTTCCGAGCAGTTGCTCCTCCCTGGGGCAGGACGTCCCCGCTCTCTGGAGGCGGCCCTCACAGCCAGAGCGTCCCAGACGCGAGCCTGGCAGAGCCGTCCTCCGGCCCGCGGGCCTTGCTGGCGCAGTGCGAGCTCCCGGCCTGGCCCGGTCTCCCCGGCCGGTCCCAGGAGGAGGCCGTGCCTCGCCGTGCCGTGGAGGGCGCCGTGTGGCGTCCCCTGCCAACGGGCTGACGGGCTGCGACTTCCCCCCCAGCTGGCAGCAACGGCCCCTTTCTGTGCGGGAAGCAGACCACGTTCGAAGGTGGGATGCGGGAGCCGGCGATCGCGTGGTGGCCGGGCCACATCCCCGCGGCCCAGGTAGGTCGGGTCGGCCTTCACGTGTCGGCGAGGCCCAGTGCAGGCCTGTGGCTCCCGCGCCGCCCACTCCTCCACTCACGCGGCCCTGCCTGGAAGCACCGCGGCCCCTCTCTGCTGTCCTCGGAACCTGGCCGTCCCGGGGCGCGTGGAGCTCGCTGTGCTGCCCCGTCAGCTCCAGAACAGCGTCTCCCGTGGGCCGTCCCACGGGCTGTTGTGACTACTGTGAGGGGTGCCGGCTGCTGTGGTCCCATCTGTGGCTTCTTCCCTGCGGGACTTGTCAGGGCCTTCAGTGTGCTAGCGGGTACCACGAACTTCCCGAAGGGGCATAGAGCAAGCTGAGGGGTTTTTTTTTGTTTTTTGTTTTCTTTTTGAGACAGAGTCTCACTCTGTTGCCCGAGCTAGAGTGCCGTGGCATCAGCCTCGCTCACAGCAACCTCCAACTCCTGGGCTCAAGCGATCCTCCTGCCTCAGCCTCCCGAGTAGCTGGGACTACAGGCATGCGCCACCACACCTGGCTGATTTTTTCTTTTTTTGGTAGAGATGGAGTCTCGCTTTTGCACAGGCTGGTCTAGAACTCCTGCCTTGGCCTCCCAGAGTGCTAGGGTTACAGGCCTGAACCACCACACCCGGCCCAAGCTGAGTTTTTTAAAACTTATTTAGCCACCAAATCTTTTTTTTTATTTGTTTTTATTTACCTTTTAAACTAATTTTTATTTTCTTTTTTTTTTTTTTCTTTTCTGAAAGGCAGTCACAAGATCACGTCTAAGGGAATCTTTCTCCTTTCCCCAAATAGTAACACCTCTTCTCGGGCCAGGGTTCGGTGGACACGCTCTCAGAGGACAGTGGCCCGGCCATGGCGCTGGTGTCTGTCTGTGGCGCTGCTGCCCGCAGCCGGCCGTGCAGCCCTGGGCAGCACCCTCGGCCGAGAACCACCCTGTGGGGGCTTCTGCGACTGGGGCGCTTGGTGCAGACCCCCGCAGACAGATGGGGCCCCCAGACCAACGCTTGTGATGAGCCTGTCACCGTCCTCCTTGGTCTTCCCTCCCCAGGAGAGCGACTCCCTCAAGGGGTGGGCAGGGACAGTCAGAGGCGGTCAGCGCGCCATCCACAGGGCCGCGTCGGGAGGGCCACCTCCTCCCGCCAGCCCCACGGGGGTTGCCCACGTGGCGTGGGCGTGTCCAGCCTCACGTCTCACTGGGGGCCAGGAGTGGTGGGGGGGCTTTTCTCATCTTCACCCACGACCTGGTTTGCAAAGCGCACGGTGGCTTTCAGGAGTCAGGTGTTAAATGACGTTGGCCATCTGTTCCCAGATGAGTGGGCCTCAGGAGGTGTCCTGGTGGCCGGGCGCGGTGGCTCACGCCTGTGATCCCGGCACTCTGGGAGGCCGAGGCAGGTGGATCGCTCAAGGTCAGGAGTTCGAGACCAGCCTGAGCAAGAGCGAGACCCTGTCTCTATTAAAAAAAATAGAAATTAATTGGCCAACTAAAATATGTATACATATAAAAAAATTACCCAGGCATGGTGGTGCATGCCTGTAGTCCCAGCTACTCGGGAGGCTGAGGCAGGAGGATCGCTTGAGCCCAGGAGTTTGAGGTTGCCGTGAACTAAGCTGATGCCATGGCACTCTAGCCCAGGCAACAGAAATGAGGATCTGTCTCAAAAAAAAAAGGTGTGCTGGTGTCTCTCTGGGAGAGGCTGTGCTGGTTCTTCTTCCGTCCGTCCCAGACTCTGGCCACGGCAGGAGAGGGCCACGGAGCGCGAGGGTATGGCCAAGCCCTGGGGCCTGGGCCTGGCTGGAGTCCCCCTGTGCACTGGGCGTATGTGTGCCGTCTGCAGACCCGGGCGTGCAGCGGGTGCTCTCTCCCTGGCAGGGGGGACCCAGCGCCCACGTGGTCACTGCCACGTCCTTTCCAGGTGAGCTACCAGCCGGGCAGCATCATGGACCTCTTCACCACCAGCCTATCCCTCGCGGGCCTGAAGCCACCCAGTGACAGGGCCATCGACGGGCTCGACCTGCTCCCCGCCATGCTGCAGGGCCGGCTGACTGACAGGTTGGTGTGGACGATGCCCCATCCCAGCCGGGACATGGCAGGGCTGGCACTCGGGACGGGCTGAGAGGGAGTGGGGGGTGGGGGGGCTCGTGGCCTGGGGTCCCTGTGTCCTGCTCGTGGGGAGGGGCTGGGGCTGTCTGGCCACGGGGTTGTCCTGTTCCTCAGAAGGGTGTCACAGGCCGGGCGTGGTGGCTCACACCTGTTATCCTAGCTCTATGGGAGACTGAGGCAGGCAGATTGCTCGAGGTCAGGAGTTCGAAACTAACTTGAGCAAGAGCGAGATCCCGTCTCTACCATAAATAGAAAAAAATTAATTGGCCAACTAATATATATAGGAAAAAATTAGCCGGGCATGGTGGTGCTAATGGCGGGTAGTTCCAGCTACCTGGGAGGCTGAGGCAGAAGGATCACTGAGCCCAGGAGTTTGAGGTTGCTGTGAGCGAGGCTGACAGCACTCCCTTTAGCCCGGGCAACAGAGAAAGACTCTGTCTCAAAAAAAAAAAAAAAAAAAAAAAAGAAGGGCATCATGCAACCCGGGGCAGGGAGGACAGGACACCCCACTGCCTGTGCCTCCACCCCCCAAATCCCTGCCCCTTGGACACTCACCTTGTGCCGCCTTGTTGGTGTCCAGAGTCCATCTGTTTCCACCTGAGACCAGCCAGTGCTCTGCTCAGACAAACCGCGTTTCCCAGGCAGCTCTGAGGGGCACGGATCCTAAACGCCACGTAGCAAAGCAGGAGGTGGGGGCCGGGGCAGGCGGGTGTTGTCTGCATGTGGCCCTGGCTGGGGGAGGATTTGCCACTTGTCCTCTCTAAACCGGCCCAAGACCGGCAGAGGCTGTGCCTGCTCCATCCGGGCCCCCACGGCCGCCCTGAGTCCCACAGGCCTGCCCAGACCCCATGGCCCCGGCGCCCTCTGGGCCTGCCCACCCTCCGCGCGATGTAAGTGATCTGCTCCTGGCAGGGGCCTGGCGGGAGCCGGCGAAACCTCAGGCAAGACCTGCAGCCCAGAGTCCCCCACGTGGACCAGCGAGTCATTACACCTCCTTCCCCTCCCCCGCAGGCCGATATTCTATTACCGTGGCAACACCCTGATGGCAGTCACTCTCGGCCAGTACAAGGCTCACTTCTGGACTTGGACCAACTCCTGGGAGGAGTTCAGACGGGTACGGGGCTCGGGGCGCAGGCGTGGGGGGCCCCACTGCACAGACGGGGAGCCGAATCCTGGGGGGCCCAGATGGGAACCAGGCAGGGCTCTGCCGCCGCCTCATGGGGACACAGGCCAGGGCTGGGGACCAGGAGGCGCCTCTCTGTGCCCCGAGTGTGTTGACAGGGCCAGCCCGGGGCTGGACACGCCCTCCAGAGGCCCCACCCCCTCAGGCCCCCCTGACCTAGGGAAGGAGCCCTTCAGGACCCGCCCAGGTCACATGGTCCCACCAGGCTGGAGGTGACAGGCTGTGGCCCCTGGGGCCGTCAGCGTCCTTCCTCCTCCCAACCCCTGGTGCCCCCAAGGGCTAGAGGGGGCAATGCCACCTGCATGAGGTCCAGCGGTCCTGCTGCCACGCCCCCCACCCCTAACCTGCTCCACAGGGCGCCTGGGCCTCACCCCCCCAATCCCATTAGTGGGACCTTCATTAAGTGGCTCATTTGATTTGCATCCAAACTGTGGTCTGGGTCATGTCTGGACTTGCGTCCTCCCCGCTGGCTGCTCCACCCTGAGTGGTGGTGGTGTCCCTGCCGCCCAGCTCACGCTGTTCCCCAGATGGTCCACTGTCCAGGGCCAAAAGGTCACCCACTTTGGCCCACTTTGCTGCCCACCGCTGGCTGCCCTGAGCCACTCAGAGCACTGCCCCTCCTCTGCAGCCATGACTCAGGAGTCCATGGCTCAGGGCAGGTAAGTGGACAGCTGTCCCCCGAGATGTGTGGGACACGGGGCAGCCTGGGACAGAGCTCAGGCCTCACGTGACCCCCCAGCACACCGTCACTGGGCGTCAGAGTCCCCGGAGGGCACCGAGCACTGGCACTGTGCCACGCGGCATGGCGAGGCGGTGCTGGCCACCTGCTCGGGCCGGGAAAGGAGATTAGCATGTCACCCACCTTCCTGCTCTTCTCCTCTGTTTTCTTGACTGTTGGTCACGGTTATTTTTATTTTCTTTACAATTTTTGTTTTATTTTATGTCAGAGTATTATGGGGGTACAGACGTTTTGGTAACAGAAATCGTTTTTGGACAGTTTGAGTCAAAGTTACAAGTGTGCCCATCCCCCAGGCCATGTGCGTCGTACCCATTAGGTGTGACTTTGCTCGTCCTCCAACTGTGGTTACTTTTAAGCTCTCGCCACTGCTCGAGCCGGTTGGCGGATACTTGGGTCCCTTGTTGGCTCCTGTCCTCGTGGTTCCCGGGGGGCTTCAGGACTTGGCGTCCCCTCACCTGCCAGATCCTTCCAGGGATGGTGCTGTCCTCACCTCTCCCCGCGGCAGACAGCACTTCCCTCTGCGAAACTAGCAGGGTCAAGATGTGCGATTTGCTAAAATATTTTAAAGACGTTTACCTGCCCCACCAAGGAGAGAGGCTCATAAATCTCGAGGTGACGGGCAGCTTGGGGGGCTGCGGACTGTGGGGAGGCTCCGCCCCACCAGGCGGCCGAGACCTCCCTGCCCTGGTGCACTTGATTGTTTCCGAAGCGCCTGGCGCCCGGCACGGTGGACACCTCTCAGGGCTGGCTCTGGGGTCCCCGGGGCCTCACTCACCTTCCCTCCCTCCTCCCTGCAGGGAGTGGACTTCTGTCCCGGCCAGAACGTCTCCGGGGTGACGACACACACCCAGGAGGAGCACACGGAGCTGCCCCTCATCTTCCACCTAGGCCGGGACCCCGGGGAGAGGTTTCCGCTCCAGTGAGTCAGGGTCGCGGGGATTGAGGGGCAGGCCATGCCCCTCATGACCAGCTCGTCCCTAGGCCTTTCCAGGCCCGGCCCCAACGCCCCTCCTGCACTGCCAGCCCAGGGCACCCCAGCGGCGACAGCCGTGTGACCGGGCACTCTCGGTCTCTCCCCCCCCACCAGCTTTGACAGCATCGAGTACCTGGACGTGCTCAGCAGGATCAGCCCGGTCGTCCAGCAGCACCAGGAGGCCCTGGTCCCCGGGCAGCCCCAGCTCAACGTGTGCGATCAGGCCGTCATGGTGAGTGGCTCGTCCTCGGGGGCCGAGTCAGGGCTGCGGCCACCACGCTGGGCTTCTGTCCCCGAGCACTACCCGCATCCTTGAGGCGCGGCCGACTCAGGCTGCAGCCCAGAGCCCCAAGCATCACCCAAGGCCCAGAGGACACCACAGGGGCCCAGGTCCCACGACAGGTGCAGCCGCAGTGTCTGTCCTGTCCGTGTCCCTGTCCTCCACCCTGAGGAGCCAGGGAGGGTCGAAACAGGGATCTGAGGGTCCGGGCACCCTGACCCGTGGCCCACACATGGGGTTGCATCTCCCTGCCGGCGTCGGAGCCCCACGATGGCTCCTGCACCCCCAGGCTCTGACCCACTGGAGGTGGGTGCCGAGCAGGTGTGTGGTGCTCGCCTGTGGGTGGTGGCGGCCCCAGGGCCTCCCCGGCTCGGTCCCACTCTGCCTCCTGGGTGTGCGGTGGCCACCGGCAGCCACTTCCCAGCACAGGGACAGGCTCCGGACGGGGACACACCTCCAGGGCATCTCTGAGCATGCCCTCGGAGCGCGGCTGACACAGCTGCACCCAGCCTCCAGCCCTCGCCCTGCTCACCTGGCTCCACGCACACAGGCCTGGCCTCCCACGGCCCCTGGGTGCTGGCGTTGGCACTCGGGGCTGCTCTGGGAACGCCATCGTCTCGGCCACCTGCAGACAGGCAAACGTGGGCTCTTTCCGTGGCTTAGCATCCCGTCCCAGGGGCAGGGTCGGAGACAGACCAGACTACAGCTGCGGGAGCCACTGGCGCCTGTCACTGCCTGCTCTGAGCGGCCGGTGTTGGGGACACGGCAGCTCCCCGGCAGGCGTGGAAGTGAGCGCGGCCGCAGGGAAGGCGGTTGCCGTGAGCACGGGGAGTGCCCGTCGCGCAGCCAGGGGAGACGCTGCACGGGGCGTCACAGAGTTTCTCCGAGCAGTGAGGACCACTGAGGGCAATGGCTTTGTCCAAGGTCTCAGCGACAGCCGGCCCTGTGGACGCCATTTAGGGCTGGGCAGGGCAGGGCCGGGCCACCTCAGCTGGGCGCCTGGTTGCTGTCCCCACGCTGGCGCCTGCCTGCCCGGTCTCACCACGGAAGACGTTGGGCCCTTCCCTCGGAGGGACACTGGGCAGCTGGCGTTCTGGCCTCTGCACTCCTGGGGGGAGCGCAGGTTCCTGTCTTGGGACCACCGAGGTCTCCCGGGCACCCGCGGCCCTGGCAGGGCCTGTTCTGCTCCCCAAGCACAACCCCGTCCCCAGGTGGAGGACCCTGTGCCCATATCCGGGTGCGGCTGCTCCCCGAGTACCTCATCTCCAGGTGGCGGCTGCTGCTGCCCAGCCATGGAGGTGACGGTCGGCTTAGGGACTGGCATACAGCTCGTGCTGCCATCTCCTGGGCGGTAGGGGAACTGCCGCGATCTGCTGCACCCCATGCTCTGGAGCCCAATGAGCCACTGAGACACTCTAGGGGTCGGGCCCAGACTCTACCACCAGGAGTCACCCAGACTTACACGCGTGTGCGGCAAAGGTCCCTGTCCTCTCCCCGCCCCCCCGCCCTCTCCCCAGGACCCTGCACTCAGCTCTGCTCCCCCGAATGTCCAGACCAGTGAGGTGAGGGCTCAGTGGGACCCCTCTGGGTATCTGAGACAAGACTCAGTCCCCACATGGCCTGTCCCAGCCCCCGAGCCACGGCCACCTGTCCCACTGCTGCCACCAAACACTGAGCAGCCTTCAAGAATTTCAGGGGGTGGTCCTATTCAGTGTCACCCACACGCCCTGCCACCTTCTCTGCTGTCCCTTAAGGCTGGGAGCAGCTTCCTCATCCAAACTGGGCCCTGCTCAGGTGGCCACCCAAGCTGGCAGCCAGGCCTGTGAGGCCACAGGGCGGGGCTGCTCACACCATGTGCCCCACACCGTGCAGGGCAGGAGTGTCAGAACCCTCTGATTCACTGACACCAGAATCTGAGGTCTGTCCCAAGGAAGTGGCCCCAGCCACCTGGGGCTCCCTTGGGGCACGAGTCTCCCTCGCAGATGCCAGGAAAAACCTGCTCACGCCAAGCAGGTGCGGGCCCCACGCAGGGCTGCAACTGCTCTTCCCTGGGAAGCCCAGACGGAGCTCGAGGCCGTCTGGAACACTGGCAGCCAGCCCTTACCTAGCACAGCTGGGTGTGCAGAGGTCCCTGAGTGGTTTCCTCCACTTGGACACGTGGCTGGGACGAGGGCAGCTGTGACATGTTCCCGCCGTGGCCACCCACACCCTGATCCTTCCGCTGGCCCTGGCCAGCCCCAGCCTCCTCAGGGCCCAGTGGGGCCACACAGGAAAACGCACACACACACACACACACACACACACACCACCCCACTACCCCCCCCCCCGAGTTCCCGAGACTCCCGGTGACGAGGTAGATGCAGACGCTGTCTCCTCGCTGCAGCTGGCTGAGCAGGGCAAGCGTCTGGAAGTGCTCGGAGTAACTGCATGTTCCTGTCCTCGATTCTCATTCCCTAGAACTGGGCGCCCCCAGGCTGTGAGAAGTTGGGCAAGTGTCTGACACCCCCGGAGTCTGCCCCGGCGAAGTGCTCTTGGCCCCACTAGGTCTGCTTGGACCAGGGATCTGCAGTTGGCCCTGCAGGTGCCTGGGGGCAGGCAGGCAGGCTCTGGCCTCGGGGCTCCGAGTTGCAAAAGCCCCAAGGGCCCTGGTCCCTGCCTGCGCCAGAAGGCACTGTGGCCAGCAGCGGGACCTGCACAGCGACGCCTGCCCTGGCCCCACCGCCCCAACCCACAGCCCCAGGCCTCCGCCCGCGGTCTCGTGTCTCCCCAGCTGGCTGGCCTTGTGCACGGTGCAGCGCTCCAGCCCAGGCCCTGGGGGTAGGACTCAGGGCCCTGGTGTTGAAGGCGACAGTGCCCATCCTGTGCTGACCTGTTAGTGCTGGCAGGGGCCACCCCTGCCCCCAGCACCACCCACCCCACACATTCCAGGGTCCCCTTCTTCCTGCTTCTCGGAGACGGGGCTGTGACAGGAGGGTGTGGGGGCGGGAAAGGCCTCCTGACAACTGAGACACGGCCCATGCGCTCCCTGCTGGTGGGGACAGCTCGTGTCACTGCTGCCACAGCACCGGGTGTGTCCAGACGTGAGGACAGCCCCTCGCTGTTCCTGGAGAGCTGGAGACGGGCTCCAGCACCTCCAGCCCTGCTTGGAGCGAGTCTCCGTCCGTGAGGCCCCAGCGCCCAGGGTGGACTGCGCGATGGTCGGTCGGGCTGGGGCGTCATGAGGAAAAGGGCCTCGGAATAAAGGAATGGGGCGCCCAGCTCTGTTGTCTCAGTTTTTTAAAAAGCGAGATTGTGCTTTGAGGAAGTTGTTCCTTGGGGGACTGGGCCTGTGGGGCGGCTGGGCAGCCAAGACTTGGGGTCGGACTAGGACTAACCCTGCCCCAACGCCCGTGTCCCTGCTCCAGCCTCCATCAAGCCCCAGGTAAGACCCCAACGGGCCTGGGCCTGGGCAGGCCAGATGCGACCACGCAGCCCCCAAGGAGAAAGGCGCCACGATTCACGCCTCTGTCGGGTTCCCAGTCCCTGAGCGAGGGACATGTGTGTTCAGCGGTGCAGGGACTCCCAGCGCGCCTTAAAATCGGGGCACCTAGAATTTGAGGAAATATGGTAATACTTCCTGGTGGCAGGCCCCGGGCCCCATCCCCGTGGACGCTCCTACCTGCCCGCCCCGCCCCTTCCCCGCACAGCACCGCGCCCGGTCTGCGCAAGCGCTCGGCCCAGCCCCTTCCCGCGGACGCCCCGCCCCTGGCCCGTGTAGGCGCTCGGCCCCGCCTCCTCCCGCGGACGCCCCGCCCCCAGCCCGTGTAGGGCCTCGGCCCCGCCCCTTCCTGCGAACGCCCCGCCCCCGACAGCGCACACGTTCGGCCCCGCGGACGCCCGCCCCCGGCCCCTGTAGGCGCTCGGCCCCGCCCCTTCCTGAGGACGCCCCGCCCCCGACAGCGCACACGCTCGGCCCCGCCGACGCCCCGCCCCCGGCCCGTGTAGGCGCTCGGCCCCGCCCCTTCCTGAGGGCACCCCGCCCCCGGTCCTTCCTGCGGTCGTCCGCCCCGACCCGCGCATTCACACCCACGTCCCCGGCGCGTCGCACGCGGCCATGGCGGACGCCGAGCTGCAGCTGGTGGCGGAGCGGATCCGCAGCTTCCCCGACTTCCCCGCGCCGGGCGTGCTGTTCAGGTACGAGCGCGGCCCTTACCTGCCCCGCCCCTGCCCTGCACGCGGCGCGCTCACCGCCCTGTCCCGCGCAGGGACGTGTCGCCGCTGCTGAAGGACCCCGCCGCCTTCCGCGCCTCCATCCGCCTCCTGGCGCGGCACCTGCGCGCGGCGCACGGCGGCCGCTTCGACTACGTGGCCGGTGAGCGAGGGCGGGACGGGGCGGCGGGGCCGTGCCCCCCGGACCGCTCGGCGACCCCCCGGGCCCGTGTCATCGCGGCCACGCGTCCTCTGCTCTCCCACAGGCCTGGACTCGCGAGGCTTCCTGTTCGGGCCGAGCCTGGCGCAGGAGCTGGGCCTGGGCTTCGTGCTCATCCGCAAGCGCGGGAAGCTGCCGGGCCCCACCGTGAGCGCCTCGTACTCGCTGGAGTACGGGAAGGTGAGCGGCGGGCCGTCCCTGCGTTCCCAGGCAGCTCCTGGAGGTGGAACCCGGGGGGGCTGAGGCGCACGGCCCGGAAAGGGCGAGATGCGGTTGGCGCAGGCGGTGGTGGTCACTCGTCAGCACCCAGGCTCTGCACACGAGCCCGGCCCCTCTGTGTGAGTCTTAGGGCCCCACACCTGCCTCCTGTCCCTTCAACGTGTGAGTCTGAGGGCCACACACCTGCTTCTTGTCCGCAGGCTGAGCTGGAGATCCAGAGAGACGCCCTGGAGCCCGGGCAGAAGGTGGTGGTCGTGGACGACCTGCTGGCCACTGGGGGTAAGAGTCCCGCCCAGCCCACAGCTGAGGCTCCCAGTGCTGGGGGGAGGGAAGGTGCCCCGCCACGTGGGGTGGGGTCTCTGCAGCCCAGCTAGAGCCCGGGGGCCTCCCCCGTCCTCCCGCAGGAACCATGCGAGCTGCCTGTGACCTGCTGGGCCAGCTGCAGGCCGAGGTGCTGGAGTGCGTGAGCCTGTTGGAGCTGACCTCCCTGCGAGGCCGCGAGAAGCTGGGGACAGTGCCCTTCTTCTCCCTCCTGCAGTACGAGTGACCTCGTGGCCTCCCAGTTTCTCTTCAGCCTGGGGCCACCGAAGTGACCTTTGCTGGGCACCACGGCCACTGGCTGGCCAGTGACGCCCTGGGCCCCTCCTGGAAGTGCCAAAGCCTGGAGCACAGCCCCGTGTGCTACCTGTGTCCAGTTAAAAACCTCGGCAGTCAGCAAGAAGCTGGGCGTGCTGGCTCATACCCATAATCCTCCCACTCTGGGAGGATTGCCCAAGGTCAGGAGTTCAAGACCAGCCTGAGCAAGAGCGAGACCCCGTCTCTACTAAAAACAAAAAATAAGCTGGGCATGGTGGCACATCTCTGTCATCCCAGCTACTCGGGAGGCTGAAGCTGGACTTGAGCCCAGGAGTTTGTGGTTGCTATAAGCTAGGCTGACGCCACGGCACTCTAGCCTAGACAACAAAGTGAGACTGTGTCTCAAAAAAACAAAAAAATCTCTGGCAAGAGAACATGAGTAAACATCTCTGCCTCACATGTTATCTCCTGTCTTCCTGTTGCCCAGGGCAGGAGCCCTGGGACCGCAAGCCAGTGACTCGGCCTTCTGTGTGCAGTGGGTGGCGGCAGTACCTGGACTGGGCAGGGGGGTGCGTAGCACTCACGGCGGTTCTCACCTCACAGGGCCGTAACCTCCACTCAGGTGGGAACAGGCCATGCAGGTCGTTGGGGGTCTGTGCACCAGAGTCACAGCCATGAGGCAGCAAGTGTTACCTGCGTTGGTTTTCAGTTGCCACAAATTTAATGGCTTATACACAACTTAATTCTCTTAGTCAGCTGGGCGCGGTGGCTCACACCTATAATCCTAGCACTCTGGGAGGCTGAGGTGGGAGGATTGCTCAAGGTCAGGAGTTTGAGACCAGCAAGAGCAAGACCCCGTCTCTACTAAAAAAAAAAAATAGAAATTAGCTGGACAACTAAAAACATATACAAAAAAATTAGCCGGGCATGGTGGCACATGCTTGTAGTCCCAGCTACTCGGGAGATTGAGGCAGGAGGATCACTTGAGCCCAGGAATTGGAGGTTGCCATGAGCTAGGCTGATACCACGTCATTCTAGCCTTGGCAACAGAGTGAAATTCTGTCTCAAAAAAAAAAAAAAACACCCATTAGAGTCCAAAAGTCAGAAGTACAGAGGTCAAGGTGTTGGCAGGCTGGGTCCAGGGGGCATCTTCCCTTGTCTCCCAGGGCTGCCTATACTCCCTGGTAGGGTGGCACCTCCCTCTGACTTCCTCTGGTCTCCAACAAGGACCCTGTGATGACACTGGGCCCACCCGGGCCCTAACCCTAACCTCACCTCCAAACTCCTGGCGTGACCCATCCCTGTGCCGTGAGGTCATGTATTCAGAAGTTCCAGGATCACGACAGGGGGCACGTCTCGGGGGTGGCACTCTGCCAACCACACTCCCTGACCCTGCCCGGCCCCACACCCCTGACAAGCACTGCCAACAGCAATGAAGGCGGAACCGCCTACAGAAACCAGTTTAATGTCAACACGCCGTGCCCGGAACCAACCACACAGACCCGCCACCCACCTCCATGAGACCCTCCCAGGAAGAGACAAGTGCGTCGAGTTCACACGAGTGAAACGGGCACGGTGGCCCAGACCAGCACGTCCCCGGCCCGTGTGCTCTGCAGCAGCCACCGGACTCACAGCCCCTCGGCGCGGGCGCGGAGGGCCAGGCGCGCGGTGACGCCGGCCAGGTCGGCGGCCTTGTCCAGCTTGACGTAGGTGTCGGTGCGGACGTGGTGGAGGCTGAGCCAGTCGGGCAGCAGCTCGGACAGGAGCAGAAGGTGCTTCTCCATCTCACCTGCAGAGAGAGCAGGTGAGCCCGGCCCTGCCGATGCGCTGCTGGGACCTGGCCCGGCCCCCACGTCCCTGCACGTCTGCAAAGCCTTTAAGGGGGCCGGGCGCCGTGGCTCACGCCGGTCATCCTGGCACTCTGGGAGGCCGAGGCGGGAGGATCGCTCAAGGTCAGGAATTCGAAACTAGCCTGAGCAAGAGCAAGACCCCTGTCTCCACTAAAAATTTAAAGAAATTAACTGGCCAACTAAAAACATATGGAAAAAATTAGCCGGGCGTGGTGGCGCGTGCCTGTAGTCCCAGCTACTTGGGAATCTGAGGCAGGAGGATTGCTTGAGCCCAGGAGTTGGAGGTTGCTGTGAGCTAGGCTGACTCCAGGGCACTGTAGCCTGGGCAACGGAGTGAGACTCTGTCTCAAAAAAAAAAAAAAAAAAAGCCATAAGGGATGGGGCCTTACTCCCTGCCTACAGGCCTCAGGGCCTTGGGGCTGAGCAGATGCCAAGCCTGGGGTCACTGTCTGTGCCCTGAAGCGGTGGCAGGGGAGCCAGGTAGGAACCCTGCCTGCCGAAAAGGCCTCAAGGGAGGAGGCCTGAGCAGCTGCGGGACTCAGCCCTGTCCCTGCAGCCAGAGGCCCAGCAGGAGCGGACAGCGCACACCATGGGGCCTGGAGCCTCTGTGAGCTGGAATTCTGTCCTGACCAGGAATGCCAGGAAACAGGCTGGGGAGGTGAGGGGGCCCCGGGGAGCCGCCCCAGGAGGCTGCAGGAGTGGAGGCCGGGCAGAGGCTCCGGGGCCTCCAGGGGCACCCTGTGTCCACGGTGGACACCACCGTCCGGGAGCCAGGGAGGCAGTGGCAGGACCACAGAGGGGGAGCCCGTGCCCCACCACACCTACCGGGGCTCATGGTGGCACAGTAGCTGCCCACCATGCGGGCACAGACCGCCGCCATGGTGAGCGCCGGCTTGCGCTCGGACACGAAGACGCCGCGCAGCAGGCGGGCCAGCTCGGGCAGCCGCTCCAGCCGCTGCAGCCTCTGCTCCTGCTCAGGGCGCCGGGTCATCTGCGCCAGCTGCTTCTGCGCCTCCTTGGCCCGGACCTGGGTGGGTGCAGGAGGTTGGTCCCGGGCGGTGGGTCACCCCGGCCCCCACGGCACCCACCGGCCCGTCGCTGGCTCACCCGTTCCAGCAGGTCCTGGGACACCCCCTTCAGGGCGTGGGTCGGGGTGGTGGGCGGGGTGGGGGGCGGGCTGGCGGGCAGGGCGGGGCTGCTGGGTTCGGCGGGACTGCTGGGCTTGGCGGAGCGCAGGGCCAGCTCACTCAAGGCCTTCTCCATCTGTGGGGGGGCAGGGCAGAGGGGAGGTCACAGGAGGGAGTGTGCCCAGCCCTGCAGAGGAAGCCCCTCACCCCCTGCCTGGACCCTCTGCCCCGGAGCCCCCAAGTCTCTCCAGGCCCAAGAGGAAGGCTGTTCTGGGCGACTCGGGGTCCCAGCCCGCAGTGCTGCCTGCTGGGGGACACCTCCTGCGTCTCTAGACCCCCCCCCCAGCTAAGCACAAAGCCAGACGGGATGTCAGGTCCCCCTGTGGAGGCTCTGCCGTTTACATGCACCCCGTGGGGTCAGGAGTTGGAGCCCCGCTCAGCCTCACCCTGGGTGACACCAGGCCTCGGGCCCGGGCCAGCACCTCCTGGGCTGTGGCGAGCTTCTCCGCGGCGGGCGGCTGGGGCAGCGCGGCTGGCTCGATGTCAGGCACCTCGTCCACGCTGAAGCGGGGGTGCCAGCGGGTCAGCTGGTCGTCGGGCACCTCCATGGGGGGGCTCAGGGAGGCCAGGAAGGCCTGTGGGAGAAGGGGGTGGGCAGGGGCCCCACTGGGTGACCCGGAGCACGCATGAGACATGGACCGTCTGAGCTCCTGTCCTGGCTGGGCAGCCTCGAGCACCTCACTTAACCTCTCTGTGCTCAGCGGAAGAAGGCACAGGCCTTCCCAGGGCCCCAGGCTGCAGCACCGAGCTCAGGGCAGACCTGGCGCAGGTGAGCGTCCACCAGACAGCAGCCGGGCATCGACAGGGCACGCCCCCCGCCCGTGAGACGGCAGTGGGGAGCCAGGGAGAGGAAAACCCCAGGACTCGGCCTCTGGGTGGGGGCTGCCCGCGGCAGGGGTGACAGGCGACCAGGCGGCCACCCAGAGTGCCGCCACCTCTGTGCGGCAGGAACTGGGGACCAGGTGTGCCTGCCACACCTGCGCCCGCCGCGCCACTCACCCTGTGGTGCTCCTTGGCTCGCTCGAGCAGCCTCTGGCTGAAGACCTGCCGCCGCTGCAGCAGGCGTGAGGCCGTGAGCTGGGGGGCCGCGCCGTCAGCCTCTGTGGGGGAAGTCCAGGCTGAGCCCCTCGGCCACAGTTCCCCACGCCCCAGCCCTCACTCCCATCCTCAAACTCGCACATGGGGGAGGGGGGTCACAGGTGGGGAAACTGAGGCCCCGGGCACAGCACACTCACCCTGGTCCAGCAGCGGCTCAATGGTGAGCTGGTAGTCGGACCTCTTCACGCCGTCCTTGAAGGTGGGCACGCCGCGCTCCTGGCGGAAGCGGTAGGACGCGGGGTACACGGCCTTGATCTGGCCGACGCTGCGCTCCTCAAAGCGCCTGTGGGAGGCGGCGCCGGGTTAAGGGGGAAATCCGGGCCGACCGGGAACCCTGGGCGGCCCCAGCCCGGCCCCAGGCAGGCCACTCACTTGCGCGTCATGTCCTGGACGGCCCGCTTGACCTTGGCGAAGGTGGCGGTCTCGGAGCGGTTGTGGAGCATGCCTACGACGGTGTCCATGCTGCGGAACATCTCGGCCAGCACCTGGTACTTGTAGGGCAGCACCAGCCCCGGGGGGCCGGGCTGGGCCAGGGCATGGAAGCGCTGGTAGGCGGGCAGGGGCTCGCCGCTGTCGGGGGACAGACAGCCGGCTCAGGAAAAGCGCCAGCCACACGCCCCTCCGTGCCCAGGAGCAGGCCGCACGCCAAGGAGCCCCCACGTGGCCGTTCACGGTCCCCTGACACCTGCCGTCCCTCACATTAGGTGTAGCACCAGTGTGACAGCTGACCCCGGCTGCACACTCAGCCCTAGGGGTTCCCCAGCCTGGTGTCTTCGGCTCTCGGGAGCACAGGGGTGACCACGGGCTGTCCATGGTACCCCGGGGCCACCAGAGCCCATGAGGTGGCAGTCACCAACCCCTCACAGGTGGACGCCGGGCCAAGGTGCTTGGGCAGCAGGCCGGGCTCTGTCGCCCGCATGAGCTTCTCCCTGGAAGGAGCGGCTGGCCCTCTGCCCACTCGCCCCTGCATGGCCACAAACCCGGACTCACCACGGCTGCTCCGGACGGCCCTCAGCCTCCGGCATGCTGGGCGTCTCGGCATCCTTCCGGGCGCTGGCCTTCAGCGCCTGCACCCGCTCCCCCAGCGCCCGGGCCTGCCACAGGCATGACTGGAGCTCCGAGACAGTGTCCCTCCGGGGGACCTGGGGACACAGGGTGCTGTCAGGCCAGCTAGTCGCCCCACAGCCGGTCCCACCTGCCCTTGGTCCAGCTCCTCACCTTGTTCTGCAAGGCTGCCAGGCCTGACGGCTGACCTGCTGAGACAGCATCTTTCCGTATCTTCCTGCCCAGAGAAGAACGGGCCGGGTAGCCAGGGGCAGCCGGGGAGCCAGGGGCAGCTGGGAAGCCAGGGCCGGCTGGGGTGTCAGGGCCAGCCGGGGAGCCAGGGCCAGCCAGGGAGCCAGGGCCAGCCGGGATGTCAGGGCCGGCTGGGGAGCCAGGGCCGGCTGGGGTGTCAGGGCCGGCTGGGGAGCCAGGGCTGGCCGGGGTGTCAGGGCCGGCTGGGGAGCCAGGGCCGGCTGGGGTGTCAGGGCCAGCCGGGGAGCCAGGGCCAGCCGGGATGTCAGGGCCAGCCGGGGAGCCAGGGCCAGCCGGGGAGCCAGGGCTGGCCAGGGAACTGGGGCTGGAAACCTGGTGGGAAGGACCCAAAAGTGAACACATGACAAGACCCAGGTACACCCAGCTCTGCTAAAAGAGGACCCACTCGGGGGATCAGGGCTGGCCTTTCAGGTAACTGGACACGCAGGGGCCTCTAATCGGGGTCTTTGCTGAAGGCAACCGGGAGGGACACCGCCCACCTCCGCTGGGCCTTCCTGGGCAGTTACGAGGGCTGACCCTCACCCGGCCTTGCAGAGAAGCTTCTTGCAGAGAAGGCCGGGTGAGGGTCAGCCCTCGTAACTGCCCAGGAAGGCCTGCCTGCCCCGTGGGATCCTGGGTCAAACCCGCCTCCCCGCAGGAGTCAGAGCCCCGGTCCTTGCAGCGGCTACAGGAGCCGGCGGGGTCCCACCCGCCCCGGACCCTCCTGCAGATTCCTGCGCGCTCCTCTGCGCCTCAGCTGCCCCTGCACCCCAGCCCGGCCTCGGTTTCCCCTGGCTCCCCTCCCCTCCCCACTCCAGCCAGTTTTCCCCGCCCTCACCACTCCGGCCTCAATTTACCCCGCCCCCACCTCTCCAGCCTCTGTTTTCCCCGCCTCCACCGCTCTGGCCTCAGTTTTCCCCGCCCTTCTCCACTCCAGCCTCAGTTTCCCCGCCCCTCACCACTCTAGCCTCATTTCCCCGCCCCTCACCACTCTAGCCTCATTTCCACGCCTCCACCGCTCCGGCCTCAGTTTGCCCCAGCCCCTCACCACTCCAGCCCCAGTATCCCCCGCCCACACCACTCCGGCCTCAGTTTCCCCGGCCCTCACCCCTCCCGCGGCGGCCGACAGCCGCAGCCTCC